TGTCTCAAAAATAAATAAACGTTAAAAAATTTTTTTTTAAAGTTTAAAATAAATAAATAAATATTAAAAAAAATATATTCGGTTCCTGAACACGAGTGGGCTTCCCAGAAGCGGACTAACTTTCATTGAAATGGACCAGAAAATTGCCCGCTTTTTTCAAAAATGATCATTTCTTCTCCAAAAGAGGTTGTGAACTACATCAAACAAGTAAGTTCTTCCCCGGAATGATTTAGTACAATAGGCAGCCATTCCTTCACCCACTGGGAAACCCCATGGTGATGATTCCTGCCCTGTGGAACTGACAGTCAAATGGCGAAGACAGACACTAGTTGCATCATCCCACAAACAAGCATAAAATTGCAACGGGGCAGGGCGGGAGTGTGTGGCCCGGATGGCTCAGTTGGTTTAGTGTCTGACTCTTGATCTTGGCTCAGGTCAGTATCTCATAGTTTGTGAGTTCTAGCCCCAGGTCGGGCTCTGCGCTGACAGCACAGAGTCTGCTTGGGATTCTCTCTCTCCCTCTCTCTGCCCCTTCCTCAATCTCTCTCTTTCTCAAAATAAATAAACTTAAAAATCTTTAAAACACTGCAGCAGACAGGTGTAAAAAAAAGAAAGAAAGAAAGTTTGTTGTTGGGGAATCTTACCTAGGGGGCAGTGAGGGGAAGTCTCCCCAGGGCCAGAAATGGTTGCAGATCCAAAGGATGAACAGACACTGACCAGGAAGAGGGAAAAAGCAGGTGCAAAGGTCTTGCAGCAAAAGAGAGCTTTTGATACACACAGACTGCAAGCAGCAGTGAGGTATGAAATGATGCCAGATGGGCAGGGGCCGGCTGCATGGGGCTTCACGGGTCACAGTGAGTTTTATCTTTAAGAACAACGGAAAGCCCTTGGAGTGCTGTAGGCAGGGGAGAGGCAGGTTCAAACTTGCACCCTGGCTTTTATGGAGAACGAATTACAGAGGAAACAGAGTGGCTGCAGGTGGACAAGACTGGAGGCACCTACAATGGTCATGGTAAGGGATGACAGCACTTTCATCAGGTTGGTACTGTTGAAGCTGGGGAAAAAATAGCTTCTGGGATTGTTTTTGGAAGAAAAATGGATTTGCTGCTGGCCTGGGATGGTGGGTGAGGGAGAAGAGCGGTGTGGGTAATTGCGAGTCCTCTGGTTCATGCACCTGGTTTGCACAGGGGAAGAATTTGCCACGGACAAGGTGATTTTGAGGCACAGTGGGCTTCCACATGGAGAGGTCAAGGGGATAGATGGACAGAAGTATCTAGTTAAGGGAAGAGGCCTGGGCTGGAGATGTAAATGTGGAAGACAGAAGGGAATTGGAGTCTAAAAGAGGCAGTGATAAAGCAAGGAGAGAATGGAGAAGAGAGGGCCATGCCTGGGTCCAGCCTGCAGGACACCTATGTTAACGGGCAGCTTGTAGGGGTGAACCTGCCAAGGAACAGCTAGAGAGAAAGGAGAGAAATCAGAAGGACAGTATAGCCACTGGCCCCTTGAAATGGAGCTCTGATCATGGCTGCCCTCTACAATGACAAAGAGCCAATGGGGGGCTGGGGTCCCAGAGATGAGGGTGTTCCAAACTGCAGGGAAGCTCTGCAGGAGGGCTGGGCAGTATCCAAGGATAAGGCCGGGGTTCGGGGGAAAAGAGCTTTGTGACAGCCAGAAGTGTGCATCCTGAGAGGTGGAGGTGAGTGCTGCTGTCCTGGAGGCATCCGGCAGTGTTAGAGCAGCACTGGCTGGGGACGTCATGCCTGCTCAGCTTCTGCACCTTTAATGAATGGACTGTGTCTCCTTTCAGATACCCCATCCCCCAATTTCTTCCAGGACCTGTGAGGAGGCAGAACATGGTCCCCAAGCCAGATGATGGTGTTAGGTGCCTTGAACCCACCGTACAGGCCTACTGGGGAGAGTGAAAGCCTCATTTTCACACTGTCCTTCACCCTAGGGCTGGGATGTTGGAGAGGAAAACAGATTTTCCAAGGCAGTGGCAGGGGGTGTGGTGCATCCTCCCCAGTCAAACCTCCTCTTGCCCCAACAGGATGGCAGACACATAGCGTGTAAATCCCCCAGAAGGAGGAGGCCAAGGATCTCTACCCGTTCAGTACCTAAAGGCCAGTGCAGACCCCCAGGGTGCCAGGCCATGATCTGTGGGGTAGTCTGCTGTGCTGGGGAGCACAGAAACTGAGGACTCACTGGGCTGTGCTCCCCAAGACCAGCTGGCCCCCACCCCCTGGATGTGGGAGTGAAGTCATGGTGGACTTCAAACTTTGGACTGCTTTTGTGCCGTTTGTAGTTGCTTATTTATTTCCCAGTATCCAGGCAAGGCTCACAGAATTAAGGGGCAGGGTAGGGGACTTCTGGAGATGACCTCATCCAATGTCCTTATCCTATAGCTCTGGACAGGAAGGCCCAGTGCAGGACATGCGAGCTGACAACCCCAGAATGCACAGAACACCCCCTTCACCCCCTTGGCCATGTCAAGAGACCTATGTCCATGCTGAGAAGAGGCGGGACATCAGCATACCCCAGGAGGGAGAGGAGGATTCTGGGCCCTCCTGACAAGGGGATGGTTCCTGTCCTGGAGTTGGTGGGGAGTTGAGGAAGCTTATCTGCTCTGTGCCCTGCTCCCAGCAACCAACAACCCCCCACCCCCACCCCGCTGCAGCTCCCGGGGAATCTCCCCGACCCTAGTCGCTGGAAAGGAGAGCACCTGGAGATGCTCAGCGTTCCCTCCTTTCCTGGGGCAGGTGGCACAGGGGGTGGGCACGGGAGCTTCTCTGCTGTCTGGCAGAGAAGCTCCTGCCTTGAGCACTAGCTGCAGGATGCAGGAAGCCTGCAGGCGGGAAGAGGTGTCCTCTGTCAGCACCATTTCGGGTCGATCTGTCCCCTCCCTGAGCCGGCCCCAAAGGACCCGGCCAAGCCCGGGAGTAGCTCCCAGAGCCATCAGCAGCTCTCCTTTGCGGGCTTCTTGGTTCCGGGGAGGAGCCTCGAGGTCGCTGACGCGCGCTTCTGATGTCGCCACTTGGCCCGGCGGTTCTTGAACCAGACCTGATGAGCAGGAGGGACCGCTCAGATCCAGCCCTGGGACCCGCGTCCCTCCGGACTCTCATAAGTGGACCAGGCAGGGAGCTTCCCGACAGGGATACGGGCAGGAGAGGGCTGGAGAGACGGCACGGGGGCAGCGGCACCCACCGTCTCTTAACCGCTGCGGCTCGGGCTGCGGGACGAGGACCACTTTCCCACCCGGACCAGCCCTCTCTCGGAGTGTGCTCTTTCCCCCCCTCCTCCCCTGTTGTACCTGGACGCCCATTCTGCAGCTTGGTGCTCTTTCCGAGCTTCCCAAATTCGGGCACGTGAACGCGCGTCTCATTTATCAGGGAGAATTAAAAAGTTTAAGCCAAAGTTAAAGAAAACTAGCCTTATCTCCCCTCCAGTTCTAGTGACACTTTCCGACACTAGCTCTCCGCCCTGCCCGCCTGCCCGGAACCGGGCTGGCCCCAGGCCCACCAGGCACTCCTGCCTCCCGCGCCTCCCGCCTTCGCGCCAGGGCCATCTTTTCAAAAGAAGGAGGAAGGAAGCCAGCCCGCTCGGACCCTCTCGCCGTCTGGCGGCGGGCACCACCTCCACGCGTTCCTCGCGCAGGCGGATGCGGGTTTGGGCCAGGATACCGCGCGTGCCCACGTCGGGGTACTGATTCTGCATGAAGAGCCTCCAGCGTCTGCAGCAGGCAGCTGCCCTCTGCCGGGAATGAGGTGGTGGCGCTGCGCAAGGCAGGCTGCCAGGGCCGGGGACCGTGCCGGCAGCGCCCTGGCCTCCCGTGGGCGCAGAAGCCATGGCGGCGGCGCCGCGGGTTCAGCCCTCAGCGCGGGTCATCGGCAGCGCCCGCGGGTGAAGGCTGGTGAGGCGTTGGGGCCGAGTTCACTTCCAGACCTGCCCTCTGGCGCCTGAGGGACCTCGCGTCTACGCGCCTGCCCCATCTTCTCACCCAGCCCGCTGAGGCCGGTCTGGGGCCACCAGTGGGCGCGTGGCGCGGGGTCCGCAGCAGCAGCAGCAGGCGCAAGGCGCGGCCTCGGGCGCCCCGGGCTCTCCGGATTCCGCGGGGCTCTGGTGGCCGGCGGGCTGCGGGGTGCGGGCGGCCCGTGCCGGGGGGCTCCGCTCGGGCAGGTTGGAAAGGATGTGCTCGATGGAGAAGGGACAGGGCCGCCCGGGGCCCCTTCGGCTCACCGCGCCCCCCGCCGCAGCCATGCTGGCCTGGCCCCACGGCCACTGCCGCAGGAATATATACGTCGGGGGGAGCGCGCTGTAATCCCCGGGCCGAGCGCGGAGTCCACGCGGACTAATCCCGCCGCGCCGGCCGGGGCGCGCTAATCCTCGTCTGCGGCGGCAGGAAATCCTTACCCGCATCAGCGCGGGGGCTAGCCGGGCCGCGGGGAGGGGGCTACCAGGAAGCCCTCAGCCCCGCGTCGGTCTTCCTGGCCCCGAAAGGCTGGCAGGACTCGCGGGCACGGAGGCTCCACGGGGAAGGCGCGGAGGGCCGCATCCCCCGGCCCGCGGATCCTGGCGGTCCTCGCCCCGCTTTGGGAGCAGCGGCCTGAGGACGCCCCGACCTTGAAGGCCCCCCGCCCCCGTTTGCCCTGGCGCCTCTTGGCCCAACGCTTGGGTACTTCCTCCTGTAGCCACCGAAACCAGGGCTAGCACCTAATCCCCTTGGGGACCTACAGAGGTGTATGAGCAAGTCTGGAGAAACCCACCAAAACTGCCAATCTCTTGGCTCCAAGACTGTTAGGCTCCAACCCTCAATGGGACCCAACTCTATTGGCAACCCCATGATCCCACTGCTCTTTGGCCGCCAACTCATTTCAGTGGCTTCCACTCATTTCAGAGCTGGGTCTCAACCTCCTGGAGGAAATGGGGGTGGAGCAGGAAGCCACCTCTGCTCATCACTGAACATGAAACCCCACTGCCCGTGCCCCCAATTCTCTACCTTCTCTACTGAGTCAGGGGAGCCTTCCAGACACCATCCAAGGGCCCAGTCCAGTGGTCTGGAGCGACCTCTCCTTCGGCTTCTTATATGTCCTGGAATCCCCTCCGAAAAACATTAAACACCCCTGCCCCACCCTCTTCATAGACATGCTTCTCAAGCTTGCATGGCTTGCATGGGCTGTCCACCTCCTTACTCTTCAGGCCAGTCCGACTGTCCACACTCTCCTCCCCTGATCCCAGGTCACGCTGCCCAACATTGCTGATGACTTGTACTTTGTGAAATTCAGTGAAAAGTGTTCATTTCAAGTAAGTGGCACTGAACAGCCAGCCAGGCACTTCAGCGAAAGACCCTCTTCTCTGGACCTCTGAAAAAGGTTAGTGCTCACAGGACAGAGCAACAGACTGCCTGGTTTATATCCCAGCTGTCACTTTCTGGCCATGGGACCTTCCATAGTGTCCTTCACCCCCCTGTGCCTTGGTTTCCCAATCTATAAACTGGCATCATAATAGCAATCTAACTCAGGAGGTGCTCTTAGGACTCAACCAATCACTGTGTGTGAAACATTAGAACTTGGTTGGGCATGTGGGGGTCCCATGAATGGTGGGTGCCATTGCAGGGCAATGCACCCACATTCCCAGCCTCTCCTCCCACCTCACACATCCTTGTTCAGACTCCTTTGCTGACTCCAAGCTGGTATCAGTGAAAAGACTTTGGACGTCAGGTGGCAGAACCTGCTGGCTCAACTCCTGACACGAGTCCTAAAAAAAGGACTCTTTATCGCCCAGTTTATTTATTTCGAGAGAGAGAGAAAGCATGAGTCGGGGAGGGGCAGAGAGAGAGGAGAGAATCCAAGCAGGCTCTGCACTGTGAGTACAAAACCCCATGTGGGGCTCGAACCCACGAACCGCAAGATCGTGACCTGAGCCAAAGTCTGATGCTTAACAGATTGAGTCACCCAGGCACCTCAGGACTTGTTAATCTACATGCTCAGTGAAGGAACCGTCACCTTTGTGAGTGGCTCTGCCACTCTCAGCCTGCCTCATGGTTACAATAGGGCTGCCACAGCCCTATACCTCCCATCTCTTCCCATGGATGCTGGGGGAAACCTCTCCCAGCACAGAACCTTCCTCATAGAACCGCATGATCACCATTAGTTCAGAGAGACACATGGGGAAGCACACGGGGATTGACTACCCATCAAGCTCCCTGGAGTTCTGCCAGGATGGGGGCAACAGAGTCAGTGATCAGGAAGATTGTGCCCTTCTCCTCCCAGCCCTGGCAGTTTCTCCATCCCTCCCCATTCCCACCCTGGGTGGTCACCTCCTGCAGCCTTGAAGCTTCAGACACCACCTCTGTGACAATGACTCCCAAGTTGATACCTCTGGCCTGACCTCTCCCTCTGCTCCAGGCTAGTATCTTCCAAGAACCTGTTCTATGTCCTGGTATTTCCTCACCTTGATAAATGTGTCACCTACCCACCTATCCACCTGGGTAAATGCACCATCTCTTCACCAGTCCACCGTGGTAAAGGGGCCCACCACCCCTTGGTGCCTTCCAAACATATCCAGGAATTCCTTGGCCCTTCTCCCTTCAAGAACTGAAATCCAATTCCCTTCCCCTTGAACATGGCTGGCCTAATGACTCGCTTCTAACCTCCAGAGTGCAGAAGGTCGCAGAAGTGACACTGATTGCTGAGGCCAGATTGGACAGCTAGGTGACACCGCTCCTCTCTCTCCCTCATCTTGGGATGCTTGCTCTTTGAGCCAGCCACTGTGCTGCGAGGAGCCACCAGCAGCCCCAGGAAGAGGCACATGCGGAGGTATTCCGGCCAGGAGCTGCAGCTGAAGGGCCAGCCAATGGCTAGCACGGAGCATCGTGAGTGAGCAAGGAAGCATTAGGGGTGGCTCCCGTCCCAGCTACCATCCACTGTAGCCGTAAGAGAGTCCAAACCAAGCTAACGATAGAGGAGATGGGTTATGTGTTCATAGCACTGAGTTTGAGGTGGCCTGTTGCGTAGCTCTGGATGACCAGATGGGTTCGGTACCAGAATAGGATGCTGCCGATACAAACCCTAAGTCACACGGCATTGGCCTTGGGACTGGACAGCGGGTGGGAGCAGGAAGGACCTGCTGGGACTGACAGTGGGGTCTTAGAGGGAGGTGAGAAAAATCGTACTGGAAGATGGAAGAAAGGAGACCCTTGGTGTGGAGTGGCAAGAAGCCTAGCAACATTGCCACCTGTAGTAGCACAAGAAGTAGGACAGCACCCCTATGGGTTAGATGGTCCAGCTGAGGAGATGTCCTGTGAATGTTTAGAGGAGTTCTGTTCCTCATTGCCAAAGCCTGGAAACAACTCAGATGCCCGTCAGCTGGTGAGTGGATGAATACGCCACGGTCCACCACACCAGGGAGGGGCCCAGGGTGGCAGTGAGCGACACACGCAACAGTGCAGGGCCACGTCAGAAGATTGTGCTGAGTGGGAGAAGTGGGTCTCAGTAGGCTCCGTACTGCGCGAGTCCATTTATATAACACTGAAAATGGCCACAGGTCTGGGGAACAGGTCAGTGGTTTCGGTGGGGAAGAAGAACCAGGGGGGGGGGGGGG